CGTTTGACAAGGATTCTCAAACCTCAGAGTTTTAGTCAAAACGCCATTTGACAAGGATTCTCAAACCTCAGAGCTTTAGTCAAAACGCCGTTTGACAAGGATTCTCAAACCTCAGAGCTTTAGTCAAAACATCGTTTAACAAGGATACTCACCTCCCAGAGTTTTAGTTAAAAACATCGTTTAACAAGGATACTCACCTCCCAGAGTTTTAGTTAAAAACATCGTTTAACAAGGATACTCACCTCCCAGAGTTTTAGTTAAAAACATCGTTTAACAAGGATACTCACCTCCCAGAGATTGTTAAAAACATCGTTTAACAAGGATACTCACCTCCCAGAGTTTTAGTTAAAAACATCGTTTAACAAGGATACTCACCTCCCAGAGTTTTAGTTAAAAACATCGTTTAACAAGGATACTCACACCTTAAAAAAATAAAAAATAATAAATAACCATTTAATTCACCTACGTTTCCGTAGTTCTCAAGTTGTCCAGTCGGATCTCGTCACTCCGCCGTTGACAGACAAAGTCGGACATGTGTTGCTGGCCCAGCGAAGAATTTGCTTCCTAGGTCTTTCTTTCCAGGTCTCCAATTGACTCTGCCGCACGGATTCAGCGCGTCTTCCTCTGCCTGACAGCGGGGGGTTGAGAGATCCCGGGTTTCGGCACCAATAAATGTTAGGTATTTTCCTCGAACCTACAATAAAATAACCACAGACAACGTATATGAATTAATATGGTCAGGCTTCTGCAGAAGGAGAAATCCCGATCAACAGCTCCTCCGAGCTGTTCAATAGAGAGTTCTGATCTCCTTTCACGTGAGCTCCCTCTTTATTGTCAAAGCATCAAACAACAGAGGTCGTAAAACATTTAACACAAACAGACCAACAACTCAGTTCCAGGTATGATATCTAATTTACAATCTAAGCCCAGTTCAGCTCTGGGTCAAACTGTCACCTAAGATTGGGTAGATAAACACCAGAGAAGAAGGTCTGAGAACCATAAAGTTTTACTATCTCGCATGAAGACAATCGTAACCTCAAGGTCAGCCCATACACACATAAGGAAGAGGACACTTTAACAAAATGATAATATCAAAAAATCTCTAACAGTTGTTGTTTAGTTTTGTGAAAATAAATCCACCAGTGAAGCCAGGAAGAGCGCAGGGCTCATTCTAATTCTATTAGTGTTGTATTTTCCTGCTGATAAGGTTACATTTTGTCTGTGCTGCTCTGTTGGTTTCTTCTCTGAGCTGAAAAACATGTACTTGTGACGAATTTTACGCAGGACAAATATGCCCTGTAAGGGACATCTGTCATTCCCGATAACGACAGCACAAAGTGAATTGGATACATCTGCAAATGCATTTGTTTCTACAATCAGTCATAGAAATGTGGCTGGTGCTCTCTAAAGGAAATAAAGTTCAATGCTCTCCAGTTTTATCTGAGCGGCCGGACCATACACTGTTTCCTCAGATTTGCTCAGTCAAAAAAACATTTTTTTTAAAGTCAAAGAAAATTCTGGCACAGGTGTGAGCATAGCTAAAGCTAATTTGCCCCCCACACAGCTTCTCTGCTGCGCACTGTCGAGCATAAAGCTGGCATGATGTTGACGTGTTTGTGAATACCTGCCTCCTGCACAGGAGCAGATTTACAGTGCAGCCTCCTGATTGCCTTTGCACCTATGCAGCACAGACGGATGTGTCAGGATTTTGTGATTTCTTTGTGTACAGGATGTAAACTGCGTTAATAAGAAGAAAGCACACGGAGAAACACTCAGGGGAAGGAGAAGAGGAAAACAGCTCTCTGCCAGGTTCTCAAGTGTTAAAAAACCTGAATATATTGTGATAAAAATAAGACCGAGATAAAATATTTCCTTCCTTTCATCACCTTTAATGTGACATTTATCCTGTACAATTCAACTGAAAAGCAAACAAATCAGCAAAACTGAAAGTTTGCTTGATTTGAAACTATGTCTAAATAAATCTTTATCAGCCAGTAAGGTATCATTTTGAATTTGACGTCTGGGTTTCAGTTTCATCACCCCGTGACGATTGCCATCATCATGACTGATGAGTGCATCTCTGCCACTTGATCATGTCGACCAAACGTCAGTAAGTGAGGAAAGTTTCAGCCCAAAGCTCTGCTGGAGGTGGCTGAAGAGGCAGCAGCACATCATGTACATAACCAGTCATATCCACTTTTTGAAATGTTTCCGTTGTCTCATATTTTGCCCAACTGGAAGCAACATAATGACTTAGTGGTGCTATAAAAGGGGACAATGTGTCTGAAAACTGCGTAATACCTCCTTGTTAAACTTCAAGTGTTGAGCAAACTGTGAGTTTTTATTTTAGTTAACAGTATAACAGTTTCTGATCGCATCTTTCACCCATTATATTTAAGTTTTTAATCATAAAAAGTTAAATACCTAACTTTCATGCTTAATCTTTTAATGTAATATTTGTTTTGGAAGAATGACTTTTACTTTTTTTTTGTTCTTATTCAGTGATTCAGCTGTTCAATTAGAAAAAGTGTTGCTCAAGGTTAAGATGACTTTATGGCTTGTCATAAAAGGCGTACAATTACCTCGTCATAAAAAATACCCTTTGCTGAATTACCTGCTGCTGAGTCAATGCTGAGTCAAAAAAAAAAAAATCACACATTGTACATCCTAAACACACCTTCTGCTTCAAATTGTGTAACAAGGAAAAACAGAGTTGTGTCACATCACAAAACAAGGAGTTGAAATTTCACAATTTGTGTCTCTTGAAAAATAGAAAACTGTGATATACAATTTGTTGGCAATTATATGGTCGCTGTTTTTTGGCAAATGTATCTTTAAGATGTTCTAAAATAGCTTTGAAACTGGATTGTAGCCAGTAATGCAGATAATCCTGTCAGGATTTGAATGTTTTTATTTTTTTATGATCCTTTCTGTCACTCTTCTGTAAAGGTCAGATTTGTGGACAGCTAATAGCTTTCCTGTTTACATTTTATCCACCTGGGTTTCGTATCTCTGCAGTTCATCCAAAAGTTACTGCAGCACTAATAGCTGCATCTGTAAATACCTGGACTGACAGGTGAGGTGGACCGCACCGATCTTGCTGAGGTTGCAGTCGTGTCACTCTTTCCGTTTTGGGAAGATGCTTGCTCTGTGAAACGAACAATGCTTTAGGCATATTTTTTTTAGAGCATAATTCTTATTTTAAGCTTCTCCACAACTGCATTCCTGATCTTTCTGTTTCTTGGCCTTGGTCAGGGGTATAAAACTCATTTTCATTCCATTCAACATCAAAATTACGAATGTTCTATAAGTATTAATAAAACTACCTATTAAACTGTAAAAAAAAAATGACAGAATATGACTTTTTCACGAATGTAATTTGGTACTGTACAAATAAAAGTTCATTTGATATGAAATAATAAATAATATCTAAACAAAAGTTTTATTGATGTGGTCTTACAGTCTTGAGGCCAGACTTGTGATTTATCACATAAACATTGTGTCTACGTGATAAATCACATAAAGTAGGATTTGTACATCGAAGTACAAATCCTACTTTTATTTTTTTATTAAAAAAGTGAACTTTGTACTGCTTTTGTTTCACTGAACAACAATATGTTTTGTCTATTACATAATCCTATTGAAAATAAATAAAAGCCTCAGTAGGGAGTTCCAAGCAAACAAAATTTGCAGTTGCACACCTTACAGGTCACCGCCTCTCGCTCTCTGCTGCGCTACACCTCTCCCTCCACAGCGGGGTCTACCCTGTAGGACAGAAATTTCCCATAAAGTTTTGTTGTTTCTCCAGCGCTAACACAACTGCAGCACACCAGTCATTTTAAACTTGAACAACAATACGTAGAAGGAGAGAAATGTGTGAGCAGTTCATACAAAAGCATTCAAGACAGCACTAAGGCTCTCCTCCTGGCACTGATTGGTTGTTCCTAATTAAATTTTGTATTTTTGCAGATGGCTGTAAGACTACAAGGAGAAAGTAGAAGAGCGTCATTTTATTTTTATAGATTCTTTTTCATTTGTTCTACTGTCAGGACATTTTAACAGATGCACAAATACACATTTCCATAAAAGTTACACATTGCAGCTTTAAGTTATGTGATTGCATCATACTAGAGGTGAAAATACAGTGGCAGAGTAATGATATCTCTTACAATGAGAGTTCAGAATGAAATTAAATCAAAAAATTACAAAACCAGTCCTGAAAACTACAAGCATACTAGTTCATTAAGCTGAGGTAATCCTTCTGCTTTTATCTGAACTATTCCTCCCCTAAGCCGCTTCAGGTCATCTTGTGAAGGCCATGAAATGTTTCTCGCTTCTTATCTCAACTATTCACAGGCAAAGCTTCACATGACGTCTGAGCTTGGAAATCAAGCTGTGGAAAAATCAACAGGTTTAGACATTAGTTGTTGAGAGAGCAGTGAGTTTGTTACCACAGGATAAGCTCACAGTCAAATGTCCCTGATGTTGTCCGTGCTATATGGTCTGCTTGCTTATTTACCAGAGGTTTTGTCTTCAAGCAATTCAGTTTCAGTGTCCCTCACTCAGGAGATGAGATCCTTTCCCTCACCTTCATCAAAGCTTTTATTTTTTCTCACTGAGTGTGCACTTTGGTGATTTGGGGGCAAGTTGCCACAGATGAATAATCTGTTGGCTGGATGTACTGTTGTGGTGAAGCCAACAACAGTAAGATCTAAACCAAGAGAAGTCTTAATGGTGATGTCCCCAAACATTTCATTATAAAGAAATTCCTAATTTTCCCCTGAGTTTTACTACTGGTTGAGTTGTGTAACACAACCATTGCAAAATGTTTCCTTCCTACATCATTCATTTATAATGAATGACAAAATAACACTTCTGCAAGTCAATATTTGACACAGATCTGGTTAAGTATCACTGCAGATAAAAGAAAAACTTTTTCCTGCAGGTTGTTTTGCTCTGTCAGATTCAGGGTCATGCAGTCACTCAGTCTGTGTTCATCAAAGCGAACACTGTGAACAAAATAACTTTTAGGCTGTTTTTCTGGTTGTTTCTCCCTGTTCGGTCTATTCTTTTTTTTTTTTTTATCACTAATGATGAGTCAGGTGAGAGGGTTTACTGTGGGATGGGTTAAAGTTTAATGACTGTGTTATAAATGCATCACCTATAAGCGGTTGGCACAGGCACAGCCTGCATCAGGAGCTCCAAGGAGAACCACGGTAAGAGATTTTTCTGTTTCATCTGTAAAAAGGTAAATGATTCCTTCAATATATTTATTGTTTAGATAGACTAAAAACTGAATAAAGTCATTCTGATAGTATCAGATGTGAAAATCAGAAACTTGCTTTCTGAAAGTTATATCTGTAGAGCAGCATGCAACCCTTGTTCAACTAAATCAGTTCATTCCCCTCTTATGTAATCTGGGTACACTTCTGTGACAGAGCAAAGAATCAGCCTGACAAAAGGCTTTGGGGTTTAAGGGGATAAACTTGAAACACTCCAGACATTTTAATTTTTTTATTTTTTGCTGTCATTTGTCTTTTTGGGCTTTGGAAAGCACAGCAAGTACGGTACAGTGACTCCCAGATCTCAAATATTCCTCTGCAGACTCGTGGCTGACTGAAACTTCAAATGTAGTTCACAAAGTTTCGAAGAGATAAATACATTTTCATTGGATGTTTCCAATAAGAGTAGCTCTACTGCTCACTTCTCATTTCCTGAAAGTAGAAATATTCAGACAAAACATTGTTGCATCAATGTTCCAAACATTGATTCCTGCTGTGACTCTAAAACTATCGAGCTCGTTATGATTAGCATCAGTTGTGACATTTAAGCAAAAATAGATAATGAACACCTGCTAAATTCAGTAGTGCTTGTCATAGATTATGCACAGCATATTAATATTATATATAATATATATATATATATATCTATATATATATCGATATATATATATCTATATATATATCTATATATCTATATATATCTATATAGATATATAGATATATATATAGATATATATATATATATATATATATAGATATATATATATATATAGATATATAGATATATATAGATACATAGATATATATATATATGTATATATATATATATCTATATATATATATATATATATATATATATATATGTGTGTGTGTGTGTGTGTGTGTGTGTGTGTTTTGTTTTTTTACAGTTTTGCTCTTTTTATAACGCAAGCATTAGCATTACCTCTATAACAGCTATAGATGGCACTATTTTGATTTCACATCATGACTTTGTTTTTTTATTGTCACCAGAAATATTCTTTAAACAGCTTGATTTGTGTTTTCTAAAGGAGTAAAGAGTGTCTTCTTTCATCAGGGAGGAGTTTATATTTGCATGTTATGTTGCTTAAAAACATCTGCAATATTTGATTCTTTCTTATCATGACTCCTTATGAAGAGAGAAATACAAACATGTCCCCAATAACTTGGTTTCTTTGTTACATTTTCATTGCTGATTAGTCAGAAATGCCTAAATATTTGCAGTATGATACAAACCTCGCCAAAAATTCAAAATATTATTCTCAATATGCAGATAAACAACCAACTCAACAAGAAAAATAATAATACTAGATAAATAGATGATGAACAATGTATTTATGGTAGTTTCACGGTTCATTTTATAATGATAACATATCTCCTCTGTTTTGAGTAACACACAAAGTTAAACTCAAACTTGTTTTTATCACAGTAGGAATAAATGAATCATGACAATAATTGATATGACTTGACTTTGACTTGTCAGTCATTGTTTAACAATGACTGGATTCCAATAAGTCCTGCCTTTTTGAAGTCAAATGACAAGTGCAAATATTTTACATTTACATTTGTCTTTTTCCTTCTCCAGACAAATTGTTAGGTTCCCGAAGATTCAAAATGGCAAAGAAAATAATAATAGTGGCCCTTGCAGTACTGCTATTAGCATGTCTCGCCACATTTCTGGGTGTTTTCTTTGGTCTGAAGAGAGACAGAGCGAATGGCTCCTGGAAGGCAGCAGTCGCAGCAGATGCAGGCCCCTGCTCAGAGGTTGGCAGGTAAGAGCTTGTTTTGACAACATTGACACAAAAACCTGTTTGAGTTATAACTGTGCCCACCTACGCAGAGAATAAAGCTCTCCCTATGTGTGTGTTTTTTTCAAATTGTTTGTATTGTAGGGACATTCTGCTGAAAGGAGGATCTGCAGTGGATGCCTCAATAGCGACGCTGCTATGCGTTGGATTAATGAATGCTCACAGTATGGGCATAGGAGGAGGTCTTTTTCTCACCATCTATGATGCAAAAACCGGTACAACAAAACACATTTCCCACCACAAGACTCTCACTTCTCTGCATCTCCACAAACCAAACAAACTCATGGAAATGATGTGACTTCTTGCAGGAAAAGTTGAGGTAATTGATGCACGGGAGACGGCGCCTCGCAATGCAACAAGGGAAATGTTTGGAAACAGCACAGAATTATCCCGGAAAGGTAACGTTCAAATGTAGAAATGGAAATAAGTTGACATTTATTGGTCCTCCTGCCTTAAAATGTGATATAACTCTCTTCAGTTTGATGTTGATACATTGGAACTGCCCTATATTGCCCTCGTATATCTTGATAAATCATTGATCGCCGTTTCATGTTTCGACATTTTGCAACTGCAAAGCACGCAGATTTCTTTTTAGGATGTTTCTTCTGTTCAGAAATACAAAAAGATAAAATAAAATTAATAAAAGTTCCCCTAAACATATTAACTTTTCAACCGTTTCTTGGTCTTTAGGAGGGTTGTCCATTGCTGTTCCCGGAGAGCTTCGGGGTTACGACATGGCCCACAAGCGACACGGCAAACTACCCTGGAAAGATTTGTTTCAGCCAAGCATTGAACTTGCAGAAAAAGGATTTCCACTGGGCAAGGCGCTGGCAAACGCTATTGACAGAAACAAGCAACTCATTGTGAATGACACAGCCCTCTGGTGAGAGACATCACCTTTAATCATCTCTCTGCTTCATAGATAACGTTCTCCGTCTGACATGATCTTTCTTGTCCTCTTTCAGTGAAGTGTTTTGTGCAAAAAACGGCGGCGTGCTGAAAGAAAATGACATCATTAAATTCACCAGGCTGGCAGGAACATACAGGAGAATAGCCGAGAAAGGAGCAGAAGAGTTTTATACAGGACAACTGTCAGATGAGCTTGTGAAAGATATTCAGGACGCAGGTATCATTGGTTTTTTCATATTGTTGCTAAATACACCAACCAACATTCTTATTGCCTTTTTTTGTGTAGATTTGATGGAGATCATCTGTGAACATCAGTTTTCAAATCTCCAAAAAAGTGCAATTGAGTTTGAACTTTAGCTCTTTTAACACAAATAAATGCTTGGAATTAAAACATCACATTGTAATTGATGTTGTGTGTTTAGGATAATTTTATTGCTACTAATTAAAGACTTCTGCAGACTCAAACAGATTTTTATCTTTACAGATTTCTCTGTATTTTGATCCACCTTTCCATCAATTAATCAGCATCTCTGTCCCCACAGCATAATGCTGCCACCCATCCGAAGTCCTTTCACTATAAAAGTCATCTCATACTTTCTTTGATTTTTCATGTGAAAACCCAAAAAGTAATATTTAAATTTGTGGCTGTAGTGGCAAAAAAATCTTTAAAAAGTCAATAATATTTGTAATAAATCAATTTTATAAAAGCTGACTTGACTGTTACGGAGTTTCGAGCATCATATGTACATCTATTCTGGAAAATAAAAGCTTGACACAGGATTTCTGTTCTTAAAATCTGTTGCAAAGGATCTTGTGCAGTAACTCTGAATGCTACAAAAGTTTCTAATTCAACCCAGTGTTTCTGTCTTTAGATAAAAATCTGTATTTTATTTAATTTCTGTTGGTTCGCTGCGCTTCCTATTTGCAGGATAAGGATAATTTGTTCCCCCTTTTCTGCTCAGAAATGTATTCACAGTGTTTGTCAATCCATGTTTAGGCGGCATCATCACAAAGGAAGATCTGAGGGATTATGAGCCTCGGTTGGATGAAAGCCCTTTAAGGGTGAACGTGGGGGAGTACACCATGGTTGTTCCCAATGCCCCCGCTAGCGGCCCTGTGCTATCTCTGATATTAAACATCCTGAATGGTAAGCCTTGATACGCCGTCCAAAAACATCCTGAGTGGGAGAAAATGTGTTGCAGTGTGAGCTGCCTTCCAGTCACTCTCACAGAAAGGAGTCAGCTCTGAGGGACATGTACAGGAAATCCTCTCTTAAAAGGGTCTTTTCACTTGATTTAACCAGAAATAGGACGGGTTATATAACTGTGAGCTTGGAAAAAACACTGATTTTTAACAGGGATGTGCTCTATTTGTCCTTATATGGGCTCAGATGTGGAATAAGCACTGATCATTAAAATGTTGCTCATTTTCAAACTGAAAACCTTTTCTTTGTTCTGCTGACGTCATCCGTCTGATTTAGCTTGTTGCTGGCTGGGCCGTAATATTCAAGCTGCTGGTCTGTGAAGACGTCGTCACGCTGCCTCGGCTTCATGTCGGAGCAGTGACAGTATCTGCCACCGAGGATTAGAGAAACTTTCCTCAAAAATAATTAATCATCAAAACCCGCTCCCTTTCCCTTTGACTGGCCGCCCACTCACTGTACCTCATGCCTCAGACGCCCGAACAGTAATCCCACAAATTTACTTCTAATTGGACACAGATGACTGATTCAAGCTTGACTCACATTTCAGTTAGTGTAAAATAAAATGCCCCCACCCAGCTGATTTACTGTGACACCTACTTTTGTCCCAAAGCTAAGTCCGAAAAAGTCCTGAACCGTCTTACTTCTGGGCCTTTCACCTCGGAGTGACACAGATGTGGAACTAAATGAAAACACATTGCATGCCAAGTCAATTTGTTCTCTGTGTATTTGAACCCAGAAGTATACAAATAGATTATGAAAGCCTTAATTGTAATCGAGCTCTTGTTGCGGTTGTGGGTATTTGTAGGTTTCAACTTCAGTGCAGACAGTATGGCGACCAAGGAGAAAAAGATCCTAACTTTCCATCGCATTGTGGAGGCATTTCGCTTTGCTTATGCAAAGAGAACTTTGCTTGGAGATCCAAAGTTTCTCAACATTCAAAATGTAAGTTACGGGAAGTATGTTCGTATTTGTTAAAGTTGACCTTTACCTTTCTAGGAATTGACACAAAGTGAAAATGAAACAAAGTAAGCCACATGTGCTTGCTGTAGATAAGTAGGAAGTCTCGGAAACATAGCGATCCGCAGATAACAACCCTGTGACTCAAGAACTTTGTGTCTCTGCTACATTTTTACAGAACAGAGAAGAAATGTGTATTCCAACTTAATTAAATGGCTCCAGTCCAGTTAAATCATTCATTGCTAGCAAACACAGGTTGTATTTAAATTGCTGACAGAAGCTTGTTATTGCTCTTTTCATCCAAAGCCAAATAATTTCTGTATCAACATTCACTCCAACATGTACAAAGACTTTAATATTTGGAAATCTCTTAGTGGTTTGATGAATTGAGAAGGTTTTGGAGAATGTGAGGATAAGATAATAACTAATCAAAAACTAAACAAACAAAAAGCACAAGACTCAAACTGACAGTAACTTAGGAAACAAGACAAGCAAACACCTCATAGCTCTGTGTTGTTGTTCTTTTTGTTGAGCACAGTTCTGAACTTAATCAACTTAAACTGTTTTCTTCCAAAAGTTAATCAAGAACATGACCTCCTCTTCATATGCTGCCATCTTGCGGGAAAAGATTACGGATGATACCACACATCCCATTGACTACTACGAGCCAGAGTTTTGGCTTCCTGAAAACCACGGGACGTCTCACCTGTCCATCGTTTCAGAGGATGGGAGTGCGGTGGCTGCCACCAGCACCATAAACCACTAGTAAGACCTCCTAAATAATCAGTGATTGTTTTAACTCCTGTCCTTTCATATCTGATCAGTTGTTGTCTTCCTGCAGTTTGGGCTCAAAAGTCATGTCAGGATCCACAGGAATCATTCTTAACAATGAGATGGATGACTTCAGCTCACCTTATATCACTAATGGGTTTGATGTTCCTCCGTCCCCAAGCAACTTTATCATTCCAGGTAGATGTTTAACTTTTTGTGCAGGTATAAATTGTGTCTCTAAAAAGATCAGAGGGTACAAAGTATGCTTAGAAGGCCCAAAATTGTTTTAAAAATATCTTTGTTTCAGCTCTTTTAATTAAATGAGAACAACCAAACCAATGCTTCTATATTGCAGTTAACTTTCTTAAATGTTGCTACAGTCAATAAATTTTATCTATACTGTTCTGTTCACAGTTAAAAGTGTTTCAAAGTAGGATAAAGCTACATAAAACAGTGTACTCATAGAAAAAATATAAAAGAATAATTGGAAATGTAAGAGAAGTGCATGTAATGTTAGGCTGAAATATTGTAATTGTTAAGTGGAAAGAAGAAGAAAGGAGGTTTTTAAAATGTTTAGCTGAAAATTTATATTCCTCACCTTTTAACCATTAATAAAAGCCAATGCAACAGCGACGCTTCACAAGTCACGATGCAAAAGTTTGACTAAAGTCACAACGTGACCATCAGAAAGTCATAATGCGTTGCCTCATAATGAAATTTTCCACCATTGTGGAGGTCATGGTTCCTTCATGGTCTTCTAGATGATGAACTTCACAAGAGATTTATTGCACAAATCAAAAACGTTCCGTGAGTCAAAATATGGAACGTTCCGTGAGTCAAAATATGGAACCAGATTTATGTGACGTTATTGAGTTGAAACTAGTACAGACTGTTCTCTTAAATAATCTGTGTTTATCAAATACTTCTTTACCAGAAGTGGGTTCCTGTAGAGAATAAGCTCTGTTGGAAGATTTCGGTTATTTTACTGCTTGAGGTTAGATTGAAATAATTTTGTAGCTTTGTAAAGATCAGATCATTTTAAAATTCCTTCTGCTCACTTTTCACCTTGACATTTATCTTTTGGCTACGCAGTGGTTATGTGTTTTAGGAGGATGATTCTTCACCTTAATTCTTGAGTAACTTTACTTGGAAGTCAGCCTAAAGCTCAATTTTCCTTCTGTTTATTAATGACCGGTCACTTCAATGATTGATAGTTCTGATTATTAAAACCTCACACCACTTTTCTAAATGCTGAATCATGTAGTGATTTATGGATCATACTATCAAAACCTTGTTATAACTTGTTAATCGAAAGTCAGCTTCATGCTACGCTTACCAAAATTATCCACGCCCTTTGACCTTGGTAACATTTTGTCACACAGTTGCAAGCTTCAGTCTATTTTATAAGTAAATTACAGAACTGTGAAGGGGAATAATATGTTATTTTCTGATTTAGGTGAAAAAACACCGGTGCTTACTATATGTTCGTTTTTTTGCTTTTTACAACGTCTTCCTCCAAATTTAAATTAACTATAAAAGTTGTATTACAATAAAAGAGACAATAAAATAAAACTGTTCAACTTATAGTTTATTTGTGTGAAGTAACATTTACTTTGGCTTGGACAAAATAGAAAATAACAGGTAATTTGCTTTGTTTTTTATTTAATCTGAAAGTATAATTAACCCTTACATTCTCCTAACAGGGAAAAGGCCGATGTCGTCTATGTGTCCAACAATCCTTTTTGACAAAAACAACAAAGTCAAAATGGTAGTTGGAGGTTCAGGAGGAACAAAAATTACGACTTCTATCGCTCAGGTAAAACGTTCACACCTAAACCGTAAAGATGTGTACAGTCCTACGGTTGTTGTTGTTTTTTTTTTACAATGTTGAACATGTTTGCTGTTCTAAAGGTGATTCTCAACGCGCTCTTCTTCAACTTCGATGTTGATAAAGCCGTCTCAGACCCAAGGTTACACAACCAGTTGAGTCCCAACACCACTGAGGCAGAGCCTGAGTTTGACAAAGTGAGTGTCAAAAACACAAAGAAGTGCTGATTTATGCAGCTAGTATTAGAGAGCTGTACTGTTCAGAGAGACGATCCAGTATTTAAAAGCTGGATAACACAGAATGCTTCAGCCACCGGCAGCTCTCTTCAGTACCTTCCCCTTTCAGGGATTAAAGTGAAAAGTTTTTGCTTCAACTCTCTGACTGAGAGAAAGCAGCTCTGCTGTGAGGTTAATCATAATCACTTTACAATGTAATGATTTTACAACATGTTATCACATGATTATCGCTTGGGTCTTTTCCAGTTTATGGCAAATAATTAAGATTTACGTAAAACTAAATCTATAATGTTTGAATCTGTAGTTGTTCAGAAATAACATATAGTACTTAGACACCATGTCAGTTTATCTTCTGAGTTTGAAGGTCTTTCCTGATTTGTTGAGTTTTGGTCAATTAGTTAATCATTTCATACAGACTAAAAACGTTTGCAGCTGTAATTAATATATATATATATAGATATCTATATCTATATATCTATAGATATAGATATAGATATCTATATATAGATATCTATATATATATATTTGTATATATATATATATATATATATATATATATATATATATATATATATATATATATATATATATATATATTTATATGTAGTTTCAAAATAAATTCTAACTTTTACACCCAGTTCTAGTTTCAAAATTTATGAAGTCATTGGTTTGTATAAAATAAAATAAATTAGTAAAGAGTTTCAATAACTTCTTTAAAATAGCAAATGAAATGAAAATTATTTTCATTTACTTTTAGGAGGCCTGATTTATTACTGAAGCGACAGAGAAATGTTAAAATTTTCATGCTTTGTCTTGTTTCACCTGACAGGAAATCATCGATGGTTTAGCAAAGAAGAACCATGAGACGGCGTTCCTCACGTCATCAGGAGCCATGGTGCAGGCTGTGCTGCGTCATAAAAACGGGCTGTCCGCCAAGTCGGATCCTCGTAAATGGGCGTATGCAGCTGGGTACTGAGGCCGCAAATCCTTCGCTGATTATGACGTTCCAGAAGCTGTTTGTACTTTAACACTTTTCACACAACATTAGAGACGAGACATGAGGAACTCACCGAAGCCAAACGACCATCATCAACAGACTGACTCAGCGGATTTTGTGTGTACTGAGTTATGTTTGTTGATTTTTACAAAACAGCACTTCTGTTAATTCTAATCTCTTCTGTATTTATAGGCAGTTTAATTTATTATCAACCATTTTTTAAAAAAATGTAGTTTTATAATTTTGTTCTAATCCAGTGTAATTTAAAAATTATTTGTGTTGTTCTTTCTGATATCACTGCTGAGCTGCTATCGAGCTGTTTTTGGTTGTTGAACAGAATTGTAAAATAATGAATAACAAAAGTGCCCAGACTGTAACGCCTCAGGGACAAGCCGATCCAGGAAAACAAATAATGGCACGCAATAATTTCCTAACACCCAGAATGCTGCGACCTACAGTGACCTCATCTCATTATATTTACTGCTTCTTCTTACAACTATGCTTTTCATTGGCTGAACTATTAAGTATTAGGAAGCGCTCCTATCACTTTTATTTTCTTCTTAAAGTCATTAAGCTGTTTTACAAGGACACTGTAGTGAAAGGAGCCTGCAGCTTCTCAGTTCATAGGTTAATATTCTCTTCTCATGGGCCTATTGTCAAAGAAATATGTGACATGTAGGTCAAATGTTTTCTGGTGCTTTAAAGGGTTGGTATGTTTTCTAGAGGTTCTGGGAGGTTTGTAGGAGTGAGAACTCCCCTAGTTGTCGTAAAATGTCACACAGCCTTGAGTTTGTAAGGAGTGATTAATCCTCAGAGAGAGAGAAAGCTTTAGCTGAATTTAGAACAACTCAGTCAGAAAATGTTTACATCTGTGGGATGAAACTGTATTTTGGTGGGCATTAACCATCTGAGCGCTCACTGAGCGCTCACTGTTAGGACTGTATCTGTTGTCTCAGGCAGTCAGTGGTATCAATTAGCTCGATTGTTCACCAGGATTAGAGCACAGTGGATGCATTAGGGATGAAATGATGAATGGTTTTAATTATTCACCATTGTTAATGCCAATGGTGCAATGATGCAGCTATGAAATTATCCAATAATTATTTAGCAGCAAATACTGCGGCTGACTGTAAAAATATTGATGTTGATGAATACATTTTAGCTTCAGGTTTCACTGTCAGGGAATTACCTTCAACATAAAATAATATAATGACACTATTTTTAACACATTTTTATCCTGCATATCTTTTGTCTGAAGAAGTCTGTTGAAACTCCAGGATCTAATATAACCACTATATTATTTTTTTTTTAAATATATTGAAGAGTAAATGTATCAAACTCTTTTGTAGAACAATTGCTGTTATGTGATTATTAAAATTATTGCAAGTTTCTACTGCTCAAAACTGATTTTGGGCAGCATCATGCTGGTTTTAGGGGCTGTTAGAGAAACACTATGAGAAAATCCACAATACTGCACTTTGACATAATATTGAAATGACAAATAGTTGGGGACAGTGAAAGCAACGACCTGTCACTGTTTGTCCAATGGTGCTGCTTTGGCAAAGGATTTGGGGGCACTGACATCAATTTATGTGAATATCTTTTCCGCTCGACTCCAGAGCAAAGCTCTCACAGAATTATTATAGTTTTGGTTGTTTTTTTTTGACTAAAAAAATGTGTTTCTTTTAATAGCCCTGGATCGTTTTCTAGCTTGTAACCATCAAGGTCGGCTCACATGAGGAGTGAGCGATGCTCTGGACTCTGTAGCTAAATATTGTGAAGACATTCCCATGAACATTTCTCAGAGCTGATCTGGACACGTTCCACTGGGAGGAGGATTTGGGGCAGACCCAGCACTAGCTGGAGCTCATTTATCTCTTGGCTGACCCCAGAATGAGGCCCCCAGCAAGAGCAGAAAAAAGGCAGCGGGAGAGCGAGTGAAAGCAGAACTGCTGACTGTTCCCAACATCAAGACTTTCTCACTCTAACTGGAAAAGTGTTGTGACAAAAGTGAAGAGAGGATTGGTTCAATCCTGAAAGAAGAATATTTAGAACATTTTATAGTAACCTGTGTGAAATCAGATGTGTAGTTTTACGTTATTTAGAAAACACAGAAGATGTCCCACTCTAGGATACATGGCTCTGCTCCATGTTGATGCTCTGTTCTTCAAGCGTTTCAATAAACAGAGCTTTTCTCAGAAATAAATTTCCCAGAAGTCATATTAGAAATCCCTCTCCACTGAGAGGTGCTGCCTGAACTTCACTTGAGTAATCCCCCCAATAAGTAAGCATAATACATCTTAAAATAAATCAATCTTTATTTGCAATTGAACAATATCACCCTGACAGATTTGGTGCAACAAGTTTATAATACTTGTTGAAATATCTTAAGCTGGTGGAACTCTGTAGATGTTATGTGTGTCTAAACATGGACTATTAAACAGATTTTGTGATATGTTAGATTTTTAAAGTGTATTTTTTGTGTTCTGAAAAGTGCAAATGCGTTGGGATCAAAATTGAGGAATTGACAGTATTGACTTGCCATTATATTTTGCTTTTATTTTATTTTCCTCCTTTAGGAAAATAAACGAAAATAAAAGTCAGTTTAACCTCAGTCAGGCTGAACTGACTGAGAATAACATTTCAATGCTCTCTGAGTGCACACAGATATTGATTATACAAATTAATCATTAAGTCATCCAGACAGTTCTAGTTTTAAGCAGCCATAATGCCGAGGTAAATAAAACATCTGCAAAATGCAGCGACTGAACGAGTAAAGATACTATTCAGGTTTTGAGTTTTGGTTGCATTAATTTTGAAGTTGGGATACATGAGATTTTTTTAGTGTTTCAATAAAAGAGAAAAACTATTTGCGAGGGCAAAGTTTGACTCCATTTTCTTCTTTTCTTTTATTTCTTTTTTACGAGTTAATCAACTTGCAGGAACAAGATGTTGGAACAAAATGCTGAAACCAAGACCCACAGCTTCACTGTGCTGCATTTCTTTCTTTTACATAGAATTCATCAGTGACCTTGTCACAGCACACTGAAATTTTCCTTGAAGGCCCAATTAGGCAGAGTTCAACATCCATACACTGTAGTTATAATGAAGAGAATTGTGCAACTCTAATATGCAGAATCCATATATGTGATTCAAACTTGAGTTATTGCTTTGGACTACATCCAAGGAGATTAAATTAGCAATACACATGTATAGAGTCATTAGCAGAGCATTTAACTTCCTGCAGTTAAAGTGAAAATTGCCATAGAGACTGATGTGGATTTTAAAGCTATTGTTTGTTTTTATGCCTCACAGAAAGAAGTTCATGTTATGACACTAAAGCTGTAAAAGCCAAAGCTTATCAAAATTAACTCATTTGTCATTCAGCAAAGACAGAGATGCTTCACAAAGAGTGAAATTTGCATGTTCTCATAAGTCACACTGAGCGCCTCGAAGGGGAGCCGAGCAGAATCCACTTAAGAAATCATTACTAATTCATAAATTCCTCTACTGAGAACGCATCTCATTACAACATTTTTAAAAAAATCTCTCTTCTGCTCCCAAAAAAGTCAAATTGGAAAACATGAGGTGTTACTGCTGATAATTCCCCAGTGTTGTTTTAAAGTCTTTAAAGCGAAATTTAAATCTCCAAAACATTTAAAATGCTCTCTTGTAAAAATGGCTACTTCATTTTAAGAAAAGGAAACTGAACTTTATCATCCCTCAGGTGATCAACACTAAAATATTTATCAATTCACATTTGTTAAAACGTAGAGTCAGAGGAAAAAGAATCGAAGCTACAAATGTGTAAAATCACAGAGCTACAAAACTGTCCATCTTGGACCAATCAAGAACCAAAGATTTGCCAGAAAGTTTTTGCTTCTGGAAATATTAAAAAAATAATCAAGGGAAAGTTTTTATTGTGAAAAAACAAACACAAACAGTGAACAGTCATGAACAAGTCCATAAAAGCACATGTAAAAAAGTGGTTTAGTAAAAATAGTTTTTTACAGCACATTGAATTTAAATCATTAGAAAGATAAGGCTCTCATATACAGTATGATGCTAAAAATCACAGTAAAGGTTTTTTGTGTCTCATGATTTCCTTTTCAAGAGGTTAAATGGCTCATATTTAGTAACAAGGACCAACAAATCCATTAGTTGAGATAGAAAAATAACACATTTATGTTGCTACATGTAACAGACAGAGTAAATAGACAGTGCAAAGTGATCGGTGTCGACTGCAGAGTCAGTCTTTCAGAAACTTTCATACCCATTTCATGTGAACAAGGGTAGCAGTGCTCTTTAGAAAATTTCATTTCAACATTTCTGTTTCAACTCTGATGCAACACTGTGCAAAAGTCTCAAACCACCCCTCATTTATTCAAAAATGACCTTTTAAAAGAGAAAAATTGTTCTTGATTCAGACAATGTGGAGATTGTTCAGTTTATTTCTTTGGGCTTTGGCTGCTTTCTACATTTGTTTTCAGACTAGTTTGTTCTTTTTCTTTTGGAATGCTGGCATTGTTTTGCAAAACTCATAGACTGAGCAAGTTTTGTCTCATATGACAGACAAAATAAAACAATCTGGAACTGGTTTCTTTTGGCACTTGGTTTCTCGCAACCTGAAACAGACACTGTCCTATTGAATCAGAGAAAATACCATAAAGGCCTGTACTTAAGGTAATCTTTCTCCCGGAGGGCACGAATGAAACGTCATTCTGCGTCAGATCTTTGATTCTTAGCTCTGACTTTCAAACATTTTTTACTAGCGATTGATAAAGTTGTTGAACTGAGACTTCACCTGAGTGAGTGAGTTGTAAATGAGTGAATTTGGTGTCTAAATTTATCCCAAAATAGTCTGGAGATGTATCACTCCACTCTAATTCTACATCACAATGAAATCTGTGATTTTGAAAGCTAAATATAAATATTGGATAGGTTTAAAACTTTTGCACAGTTCTGTAGCTGCACTAGGAATCATGAAAAAAAAACCAAACAAACGGAGGAATGTGTTGGTTGAACAGTTTACATTATTATGTGTATCGGTCTTCATGTAAAATATGTTCACGGTAGTGATTAATTTTCTTTAGTTTTATATAGTATTATTTAGTTTTATATTAGTATTATATGGATGTGCGCCTACATTCAGTCACCTTTTTGAAACAAAAAAGGGGAGTTCATTACCAGGAATTGTATCGCCATGTTAGGTGGATAAAATGATCTCAACTTCTGAACATTCATATTTCTTCCTAAAAGACAAATAAAAAAAAAAAAGTATTAATTCACATTCAGTTTTTCAGAGCTGCACCACATTCACTGACAGGAATCCTAAAGGCTCAGTTAGTCCAATAAAAGACATTTGTGGAAGGTTAGGCTTGATCCTCATGATCAGTATCCAGCTGACGTTCCCAGCTTCCTGCTGTCCGACACTGCCGCTATGCAGCCGTTCTCCTTCTCCAAGGCGTTGACCACATTTACAAAGTACGTCCAATTCCCTGTTTTGTGTCCAAGACGTCTAAGGCTGTTTATGTCGGACTGCAACAACACACAGCACAGGTCAAATTAAATGAGACAAAAGTGAGACAAATACAATATGAAAATCTCCATATGGATCACAGGGGAGTCAACTATCTTAATTTAGATTCTAATTAAAGTAATTTATCTACGGCTCTTGGCACATCAGGTAAAGACATTTAGTCTTTTAATAAAGTGAATTTATATTATAGGATCAACTAATACTGAAATGTTTTTTATATTCCAAAAAATATCCTGTTTTGTATAAAATCAGCGGTGCAATGTTTTTTTTTTAGCATTTTTGATGTTAACAGTTAAATTACAAGACACGTTTTGTAATAATTATCACTCACAAAGTTGTATCTTTGCACGATGTCAAGCTTGTTTTTATGCTCTATTATCTTCAGTCAACATCAGAAATTGTCCACATGCTTTAAGTGCAGAAGTTCAGATAATTACAGGAAAAAAGTTGATGTGGTGAACCATGTCTATGTTGATTTTGTTATATTTTGGACAGTTATGCTCCTGAAAGTTTCAGTAATGACACACTTTCATTTTGCTTCAACAGGTTTCTGAAGCTCTTCTCTCAATCCTCCTAAATTTGATCCCAGACAAGCTAAATATGTCAGTTCCTCTGGATGGGGAAGTGTGGCACTGTTTCACATAATTTGTTATATTTCAGGAGAAAGTAAATCATGGATTAGTAATGAAAAGCTCCCACACATTGATGAACTTAAAAAAGTAGATTAATATATATTAGGAGAAATTCCTCAGCTGATAAAACTCTGATGAGTAAAAAGTTATTTCTAAACATTGTATTTTGAATGAATATCTGCACTACAATTGAAAAGAAACATTTTCCATCAATAAAATATCAATTTAAGTTTTTCCACTCATTGAACAGGGATGCTAATAAGTGTGGAAATCAAAGTAAAACAGACATTTACAGCAATAATGAAAATACGTCACCTCATCGAATCCTGGTTCAAAATTCACATTGTTGTTTGAACTGATAAAGATTATAGGAGCAGCAATGGCGTCTTTTAAGCTCATTCCCAGCCACAGGCGGTTTATTAGGGACTGTTAGGAGAACAAGACACTTATTTAAGCATGAATAAGCCCAAAACTAACCAAGAAAGCAAACAGTGATTTACCAAGGCCACTGATGTGGTGATAAGACTTCCTCCTGACCCTCCCATCACAAGAATCCCTCCAGATTCTTTCTCCAGTATAACAGGAGTCATCGAGGAGGGCGGCTGTTCACCTGCATGAGACGATTAAAGGCTCAGACTCAGAAAACATCAGACAGATTTGTCCTTAACTCTGTGGTTATTTTTTATTTTTTACCTCCTCTTATTGAATCTACTCTCCCACAAAAGTCAGCGAGCTCGTTGTTGAGGATGATCCCCGTTCGTGGAGAGTAAACCGCTCCTCCAAACCTGCAGAACCGCACAGCGCGATTAGGACGGTGACGTCACTACATGTAGATTTTGAAAATGTCAATCATTTTGAGGAGGGTTTGTGCTCACAGCTGGTTTATGGTGCTAGTGGCTGAGACTGCGAGTCCGTCCGCATCAATGGCAGAAACATGAGTTGTTCCAAAGTTATCAGGCGAAGGCTTGCGGTTAAGATAATAGGAGTTATCGTGTGTGCTATTTGATGAGATCAGCCTCGCTATGCGATCAATGAACGAAGGATCAATTAAGTGATCAGCAGTCTGAAAGAGGAACATACAAAAGTTAACACTTTTACCCTTACTTTATTTTTACTGTTCAATTAATTATTTAAAACTTTTAAAAGGGTTAACAGTGTGTGAAATATATTTTGCTTGGTTTTAATATGAAGCCATCTTTAGTCTATTAGTTTCCAATCTAAAAGATTCATTCAATAAATTAGAACTTATTTAAAAGTCCATTTATCTCAGGAGCTTTATAAATTAAACACTTTATATAGACTAATTACACTTACATGAGGATTTAAAAGCTTTTATTAGCTTATAGTTAATGAAAACATGATGTTTCAAATTAATATAATTTCAACAGACCAATAAAAAAATATATTTTTAGATACAGAAACGTAGGCTTAATGAAAAGTATGTTTAATATCTCCTTAAAGGCTGTTTTTGTTCTTCTTAAAGGTACTTTTAATCTGACCAAAGAGACTGAATGGGACATATATTCTAATTTATTGAAGATATATTGTGGATCACTCCAGGTCCATCTCTTTCTGTATTATACTCCTGATAAATAAATAAATTAGGATACTTTTCTTTAATGCAACATCAGTGGGTCGGCATACTTTCTGTATATTTGAGTATTTGACATTTTGCTCCCCATTTATACGTCTTTAACTAACTGACCAACACTGACAAGACGTCAAACTCTGTGATGCTTGATTCGGAACAATTACTTTCTCAGAAATAAATAATTCCAGTATACCAACCTTGCCGCTACTGTAGGCAGGATCTCGAATGTTCCTCTTTTGTCCGTTTGCAAATTTAGCTGCCTCTATGTAACGATGGTACATCTGAATCTTTTTTTCTCCAACCAGAGAGTCTGGAGTCAACGAGAACCCTTTGGGAACAAGAGTTCAGATTTTTAATTGTCCAAATGAATGCATTCAAAGAATCCCATCTGAGTTACAACAAAAGATGTGAAACCTTTCATGATTCTGAGAATGAAAGCTAGAAGCGCCCCCCCAGCAGGCGGTGGAGCGATGTGCATCTTATGATTTCCCAGAGAAACTGTCCATGGACTGCTCACCCGCACACTGTAAGACTTCAGATCGTCCATCGTTAATGTTCCACCTAGAACAAAAAACACATTTCTGTAAAGTCTATGTGCTTCTATCCACTTCCTCGACATCAAGTAATTTTATTCACATCATTAAATGACAGCGTCAATTTGTCAGGCCAATCTTGCACCAACCTGCGTGTTTTATGTCTTGGATTAAGTCACGTCCAATCCTGCCAGTGTAAAAGGCTTTTACTCCTTCCTTTGCAACAATTTCCAAGGTCTCTGCAAGTTTAGAAAACTGCAGGGTGTCGCCCTTTCTCAGGATCGTTTTGTTCTTGTTGCAAAATACTTCACTGAATAATAAGAAAATGGGAAATAGCACACATTAGGCAAAAGTTGAAAATAGTTGTTACACAACACAAAGTGACCTGACTTGATGTTTAAATAGTTTTGTTTTGCTTGAATTCACAAAGAGTCATGCCCTCAACAGCTTTGTAAAGAGGTGGGATAAACCCTGAAAAGATGTTCAATTAAAGTCACAGAAGAAAGAAAAGAGAACACCTATACCTAACTTAAATCTACCATTACCTAAATCATACAGTTTTTAGGAAAGTGAAAGGAAAAGAGCAGACAGGGAAACTCTGAAAGACCAGACCAGCATCCCAAAACCAGAGAACTGTGATGAAGCAGTGAAATAAAAAAATACATCACAATGCTCTCCAAATTAAACACATATGAACCTTCTTGAGTTGCACACTGAGGTTCTGACACTGTTATCCTTTGAGTCTGGTAGTCCATCCAATCTGTGATTACTGCATTTTTGGAGCTCACAATAACTGTTTTTACTTTTCTAGGAATAGAATTAACATTTTTTATTATCACTAATTATTGGCCTCCAAGCTTGACTTTGGTTCTTTTGGGCAAAAGCCTCTTACAGTTTTCCTTCAGGTCAGCTCATGCTTGTCTCATTTATTCCAGAAAAATACAACAAAAATGCAAATTTATGAGCCAAAATTTCTGCCGTCAGGGACCCTAAACATAATAGTTTGAAAGTTGAAAGTAGGTTCAGCACATTTCAGCTTTTCAGTCACATGTTTAAATGTGAGGCTTTTCTCTCAGGTCACTTTACTCCAAAGATTTAACAGTAAAGTCTAAAATTAGGATACCTGTTAAATGATTGAGTTAGATTGTGAATAGTGAATACATAAATATTAAGGGGAGAAATAATGCACAATTTTAAAATTCAAATAAGACAATAAATGTATATCTATGTGTAACTACATAGCAACATGCTTTTTGGTATTCAGCCTAAAAAGGCCGATTACACAAGCCTAAGTTCTGCTTGTGTAATCAATACAAAATTCTACATATTTACACTGGAGAATTGGTTTTATATGTTATATGCCTAATGTCCCCATTTTGCATCATACCTACATTTGGTCTCATGCCACATTTACATGAGCAATCTCCAATTAGGAGTCTGATTAAAGACAAAAAACATTTTTTAACATAAAAAGAGGGATTAAATGGCTGAGAGAACACGAGATATTTACTCAAATTACTTCTGCATTATGATTAAAAACACATAAATCAGAGAACAGCGTGAAAAGAGCAAATAATTTCCTCACAAAAGCCTCTCCTTGCTTCTGCAGAATGACGGATGAAAGCATATCTTGTTGAATAAAGGAGTGAATCTCTAAGAGACTGACTCCTGATTCCCTTCTTTTCATCAGTCTCAACAAACCCTCCTCAGGACGCAGCCTTCATGACCTGAGAGCAACGTCATGGGAACGTTGGATGACTATAATCCAAAACGTTTGCTGGCCTCTTTCCTAGTGCTGCTGCTACATAAAAATTGTGCCAAGTCAGCATACCATTGAATAACTGCTCCAAACAGCTGAAATTCATCACCAATAGGAAAGCAATACATTTGACCTAAACAGAGGTGGAGATTAGCATAGGTGTGTGTGAGGGAGAAGCTAACACTGAGCTCCAGGGAGTCAGAAAAACTCTGGAGTAACACAAAAATGATGATGACGATGATGATGATGATGATGATGATGATGATGGCCCGTGGAATTGATAATGAAGACATATTTTAGTAATAATTGTAAGAAGTAAGGAAAAACAAATAAAACTGTTAAAAAAACAGCCATTGATTCAATTTAAAAATATTTTAAAAATGACTAGACACATCTTTAATCATCAGTATCAGGGAGAGTTGTTGCCAAAATTTGGAAATGTTCAACATGTGATTGCAAGAATGTTTGGGTTGCATAGTTAAAGTTTGCCGTTAGTAATTACTACAAATGAACTTATTGCACTGAAACCCTGTTAAGGTGCCCAAGCTTTATGTTAAAATATTCTGTATATGTACATCTGTATGACAAACTTATTGTCAGTGAATTGGTTTTCATAGAGTTAAGAATAAATCATACATTTTCTATAATTTGCTTGTACTTGTGGGGTTTGTAATCGAAAGAAAAAATTAAGAAAGTGGCTTCACAGTGGCTGGTGGAGAACAAATTTAATTTCCACCCCTGGATCTAAGTTTATCTTCTATGAAAAATATTTTGCAGTAAGATATGGCATTCTTGAGTGGGGTTTATAAGAAAAGGTGAAGCATATTTTGTGCCTCCAACAGTCTCTAAATCATTCATTTTCACAGCCGGGGAAAAGTCCAAATTGAAGTGAACTACCGCATTGTGTGCATGTAAAGAGCAATAATCACAGAAAATTTTAACTCTGGTTATACAAAGTGTTATAACATAATTTTACTTTAATTTCTGTTAGTTTTTGGAAACTTTTTAAAACCTCTCTGTCTCTGAGATGCATGTGTGAAATTTTACCACAGAGATGACGTTTCCACATGCGGCTTCACCATCTTGTATTCCATAAAGCGTGCCAGGTACGGCGGCATGGGGATTCCTTCCCTGGCCAGTTTAATGGTCGGCTCAAACAGTTTGGCCCAGGACAACTTCCCGTACTCTCTGTGGAGGACGTCGTAGCCCAGCAGCTCCCCCGGAACGCCAATCCACTGACTTCCTGAAACATTGAGGTGGAAAATGAGGGGAAAAAAAATAATATTTTGGAAGCTAAAAATGTGAAGACAGCTTACCTAAAATTTTTTTTAAAAAAATCAATGAACTGTAGCTCTTAAACAAGACAATATTCATAAAAAAGAGACATTTTTCGGTTGCGTTGAATTTCTTAAAGTTATCATTTAAGTTTTCTTATTGAAAACATGCAATTCTGATCAGGGGCTTATTCATCATTGACATAAATGTCACATTTATTTGGGGTTTTTAATGATTTATTTAAAACATTCTTTTTGAGGGGGGATAGATAATAACACAAAAACTGGAATCAAGGATTGGACGGATCAAATATATCACACCTGTTTACCTAAAGCTCTCCTAGTAAGTTGTTCCTTGAACAACCTCCAAAAAGCTTTTGACATAACTCAGGCTTACCAGATATATCTGTTTATGTAGCATATTTACCTGCTTTTATAGCAAATCGACCATTTGCTATATAAATAAACTTGCGTACGTGCAAGACTTATTCCAAAGCGAATTAAAATGTATTGCTTTCTTCAAAATTCAACACATAAATACACAATTAAGACAAGATTGAAACATTTTTAAGTATTTTGCAACCCTATTAATAAAAAACCAAAAAATCACATTTAAGTAAGTATTCGCTGAAAACTTTGCTGAGTCATTTTTGGCAGCAATCCGTTTTTGAATATGATGCAACAAGCTCTGAATGAGCATCTTTAGGCAGCTTGGTTCATTCTTCTTTGCAGTTCATCTCCTGCTCCATCAGGTGGACGGAGTCGTCTTCAGATCTTTCCAGAGACGTTCATTGAGATTCAAGCCTGGACTCTGGCATGAATGAACACCAAAGAGTTCAATCTTTGTCTCATCAGGCCAGAGAATTTTGTTTCTCACGGTCTGAAAGTCCTACAAGTGACTTTTGGCAAACTCTAGACATTCTGCCATGTGCCTTTTATCAGGGAATGACTCTCATTGTGTCGCTCTAACAAAGATCTGCTGCAGGATAGTCCTGTCTCTGTGATCTACAGAAAACTCTTTTGATTGATTGCTGTGTACATAGACTGTGTGTCTTTCCAAATCAAGTGTGACCAACTGAATTTTCTCCACAGATGGACTCCACTTATTTTACTAAAACATCTTAAGGAGGATCAGTGGAAATGAAGGTTGTGTAAATATGATTTCTTGGTTTGGTCATTCTAATAAATATGCACAAAAAAGGTGTGGAAAATGACTTGTACATTAAATAAATTAGTAAAACAAACAAAAAAAAGGTCAAAAATTGGTCTGTGCAGGTGCAGCTTACCTGTGGACAGTCTGAATGTAGTGGGACAGTCTTTTAACAGAGTAGGTTTGTATGACTTTGGGGTTGACTCTCTGAAGTTGTAAACTTTAACATTACCTGGAAACAAATGAGCAAATGAAATGACTCACAAATAATTTACTGTCACTTGTTCATCCTATATTCATCCCAGAGGCAAACAGACAAGATTAAAAAAAAATATATAAATATATATTTTTGTATGTGACTCAACCGGAATCTCTCATGACATTAAGGTGAAATGTGACTTTGATGATTATTTCTATACCAAATAGTAGAAAAAGAAAGAAAAGTGTTGATAATTCAAAGGTTTGATCCAAACAAAAACATGTCCAGAAAAATAAATCAAGTGCAGACGACCTACCTGTTTTATTTCTGACAACCACTATCGAGCCTCCTCCAATCCCCATGCTCTGAGGGTTGACCACAGATGTGCAGAGGAGAGCTGCAATGGCGCCATCTACTGCTGAGCCGCCCTGGAGGAGCATGTTCCTGGAAAACAATGTTCAGTGGATTTACGGGAAACCAGTAATCTGACTGCGATGCTCTGCACAAATGTGGACACCTACCAGCAAACACTTATGTGTTATTTGATGGCGTTTACTCTAGGGGTGTCCTTTTTTTCACAAAGTAAAACCAATCAAAGTTAATCCCTGAGCTGCCTGTCTTTCATGACAATAATAGTTGCAAAATACATCTTATTTGTCTCGGTTGGATTTCTTCACCTCAGTTGGAGTGACATCAGAAAAGCAGAAAAAAGAAAGAGAAACAAGTGCAGTCTGAGTTGGAAACATAAAGGATCTTTTCACTAATGCTGGCACTGGCAACTCGTTACCTCTTAAGATGCAAGCGAAAGCAGCGTTGGGAATGTTTAGACCAGCTCGAACATTACGCAGGAGTTTGAAGGTGCACCAAAGAAAGTGTTTGTGAGTTAGGTGGAGTGATGACATCATTTTCAATATTTAAAATATTTAAATTTTTTGTCAATTTTGTAATATTGACACACAAAAAAGAAATATTGCAATTAAAAAACTTTGTGGAAAGGCAGACCATGGTAAATTAATAAAAGTAATGTTTATTTCACACACTCAGTCACATGCTGCTCTTCTGCTAATAAAATACTTTTGCTTTTTTGTGTGTGCGCAAAGCTGACCTTTTTACTTTAAGTCAATGTTCCAGAGTTTCCACTCAGTTCATCTCTTTGTCACTCACATCTGACCCTTTGACTGTCTCTGCTTTGAACGGCAAAATTATCTCTCCACAAACATTGTCACAAAGGGCAAAAAGAAAAAGAAAAAAAAAACAATGATAAAAAATCCCCTGCTGTGCACAAAAGCAGGAAGAGTTGCACACACATTCCAGTGAAACAACCTTTGCTCTTCTGAAGTTACTGATGACTGATTAATTGACTGCAAGTAAGACAAATAACCAAAGCAGAGCCAAGACCTTTCAACCTGTTTATGCGCTCTGAGTGAATTGATTCAGCAATTCAGCAACTGCTCAGAGTAATCAAAGGACCTGGATGCGCAGTGCTGTAATCTCACATGAGCCGATCAAATCTCTTAAACTGTTTATTCCCACTGCCAGGAGGCGAAGCCCGATGTAGTTCAGGCAATTAATAAAAACACGTTTTTAGATTCAAGTAGGAAAATTCTGAATGAAATATTTATAGCCTATATATTGTTGGTCAAATCAAAGTCTTAAAAGAAAGGATGAGATAGGCCACTTACTTTCCGATCTCGGAGCAAAGTTGCGAGTCTGCCGAAACAGCCGCATGTCTGAATCTGCCGCCGGAGCAACCCGCGCCAAGAAGCGTGGAGACGCACAGACTCACCAGAGCAACAGCGCAAATCACAATAAGAAGAACGCAGCATGCCGTCAGCCAGGGCCTATGTTTGGCCATTGCGCTTTGTGTGTGAGTGGGTACAACTTTGACGGACGGCTCGCCTGCGCTCGTTGTAGTGCGCACAGACGCACAATCAAATCCGTATTATCCAGAGCATGAGCTACCCTGGCTCACACCCCTCCTCTTCCTCCTCCTCATCACCATCCTCCTCCTCCTTCTGTCTACCCCTCTTGTTCCAGAAACGAAAGTAGTGATTTACTGGATGCGGACTGGGTCATTCTTAGTTACCACCAGTCTTGGGGGGTGGAAAAAACCCTTGGTGTCACGATTTGTTCCCGAAAGACGTGCGTGTCGAATATTTCAATGATCAATTCATTTCGCATTTCTTGAAGTGTGTCAGAGCAAACTTTTGTTTGATTAGGTGGTCTTGGAAAGAAAATCGCCCAGAGGCTTAAATGTCCCAGAAAGCAGCGATTTGAACAACAGGAAGGCCTGACAGTTTTGCCCAAGACTTGCTTTGTCACATTGAAACGCTACAGTCAAAACTTACATCCAATTAGGATATCTTGGGGAAAAAAAACAGTATTTTTGTCACTCAGTTTAGAAAATGAAGTTATATATGCAATAGATGAATTAAAGATTGAAACATTTCAAGCCTTTATTTCCTGTAATTCTAATGAATGTCTTACAGATAATAAAATTCTAATAAAATATGTAAAACCCATATTATTGCTGACTAAATTAACATAACATCGCATAAAATTACTTAAGAAACCAAGCTTATCTTTGCCTTACATACCAACACTTAAAGGACTAAAGCTGCCATTTAAAAATAGAAATGACTTTAGACTTTATTCTGAAAGGTCTAACACTGAATAAAAAACACTAAACAAAAGGCGAAGTTGGCCATTACAGTGCAACAGTGCATTTATATTTCTTTATTTTAATTTGATTTCATTTACTTTCTCATCATGACAAGCCCAGATTCAGAACGTCATTGACTTTACTTTGGTCTTTGATAAAATTCACTGGGTGAGTTAAATATTTAAATAAGACCACTCTGACAACACTTCCCACATTTTCTCAAGGTGCCGTTCTCACTCCTCTTTTATTGATCATATATCTTTTCTCCTTCTACAATTCTCAAGTTCATTGTATGGAGATGACATCCAGCTCGCCCTTTTCTCCTTCTCCTTGGTTCCTCTCCAGCTCCTTTCTCAACACGTCAAAGTAGGATTATGTTGCCTTTTTGTTTTGTAAAAAGGTCTAATGAAATTATAAAGCTGAGCTTAAAGGGTTTAATGCAACAATTACTGGTGGACTGTGCAGCCAACTGGCCGCCCTGCTGCAGTTGGCACACATTTTTACTCACTGTTACCTTGACAGAGGCGATTTTTTTTGTTCAGTGGCAGTAAATCCTGAAAACAGAACAAAAGCAAAAATGTTTATTGGATTTTTAAAGCTTATGAGAGACTTTGTGGTTCGTCTTTACATCAAAATCCTCACCTATAAGACCTTTCCTGACCTGTCATGTCTGAACTCATCCACACCAACCCACCCTTCTGAGGTGAACATCAGCACCAAATCCCAATTCCTATCACTTAAATAGTGATGTATTTTTAAAAGTACTTTGTAAGTTTGTGAAACATTAATAAATTATAAGCCACGTGTCAATATCCCTTCTAACTAACAGAAAAGTCAAATAAAACACTGGTGACTGACAATTTGTGAAATATAGCAACATTTTAGCATGATATTTCAGAATCAAATAGAGGCATTGGCATGGTAACAAAAGTTTATAATCACGTCTAACACAGTAAATGATCGAAGAGATTATCTATTGTATTTCTCCCTGGAAATAGGGAGACGGGAGTCAGACGTTCTCATAATGACTATGTACTTTCTATTTTATCAATTGTGTATTCAGATTTGCAAAGTTTCCTCATAAACATGGAAAAGAAAACCATTTGTTCTGACCTAATGTCATGAATGTCTTCCCAGAATGTATTTACATTTTTGCAAATCCATGTGCAGAGTAAGATTGAACCATAACTTAGTGTAGAAAGTTCTGTGTGCTCTTCTTAGCAGTAGTATGGTAAATTTTAAATGGTTTTTAATATCTAACTGAATGACATGGTTAGAGTAATATGACTTGATTTTATTTCACATATCTTGTTTTATCATTTATGCATACATTTATTATTTTTCCTTATTGTGTCGACTGTGACGTGTGTTTGTGTTGTGTGTCTTTGTGCCATTACCAAAGCAAAATTTCCATTTTATGCAAGTTTAATGGACATTAAAGGAGTCTAAAGTCTAAAAGTCTAAAGTCTAACCCTCTCCAATGTCACATGTAGATTTGATGGGCGAAGTTGTATTGGGTTGTTTTTGACATAACTCTGCATCAGATATTGTGTAAGTTGTTCTCCCATCACTCCCTTAATGTTTATACTTAATGAGGCACAAATGTTATCTTTCCTGTATGATTCTGCAGCTGGATGACATCAAGTCAGCAACAATTTGCTTTCACCCCCAATTTTTGTTGAATAAAAATTTTCCATTTATAAATGTTTCTTTATTCTTGATAAACATCACATTGTTCTGCTTACAGGTTTGTATAAACTGATCATTAAGTCTTTTGTATGTTAGTCCTTTTAAGGCTGCTAATGTTAACACATTTCTGTGTCTGTCAGATAGGAGAAAATCCACATTCATCAGGAAGTTTCTCACGCAAAAGATCCAACATAATTCAGATTCCATTATAAATCAGTAAAAATAAACAGTCATACTTCTGTAGCACAGCGTTTCTTACTCATTGCTCATAAGTCATGCTGAGTGACAGATACTTTTCTTTTTAACAACAATGAGAATTTCCTCATCTGTCAAAGGCCACATTGTTTTATGTGGACAATCTTAGTTTTCCAAGTCTGCTTCAAAATTTCGAAAGGAGAAAATACATTTTAACACAATAACATTATTTTAAATTTCCAAAATATTTAAAACAAAGGCTAATTTTCTCTGTCAAAAGAAAAAAAAAATGTTATATATAGTTGAATTAACCTTAGCATCATCTGCACAATAACAATTGCATCATTTATATTCAAGAAAACAATCAGATTAAAGCTTATTTCAATTAATTTGATGCATGTATACATTTTATATATTTATAAATAAGCTTTTTATTTGTAATAGAGCAAAATGCTCTCCTATTCTTGCAAGTGACCAAAATACTAAATATTATTTTGATTCAGTTTTAAGGCAGAAGCAAAGAAAGGCAGAAAAGACATGTAGAAAGAGGGTGTGAGGTCAAAGGTCAAACTCCTGACAGCAGTGATGAGGACAATAGCCCCTTTATAGCGGATGTTTGTTCTAACACTACGCCACATCCTGGATGGTAATTTCAGTTTTGCTGTGATTCGTTTTTCAGCAATAAAGCATCAAAGCATCAAAAGGCTTCGTCTTACCCTTTTGTGTCATATTCTCAAAATATGTCTCTTGTCATTCTGAATCAATTTGTACACAGTCATAAGTAGTCATGTGTGTCTAATTAAAATGCTATGTTGAGTCATAAGCATTTTAATTAAAAATAAAATAAAAAAATAAAAAACAGTTGAAGGGTAAAATAATAGGAGGTTAGACGTGATTCGCTGTAATCTCTCACACTTTTCTTTATTGTTTATTAACAAAAAAACAAAAATAACAAAATGTCATTGTTTTGTGCTTGAGGATGTGTCCAATTTAATACATAATATTACTAATATTTTTAATATTTAGTCTAGCACACATTTATTTGGGTGTCTGAAGTATTAGTTTTTGGCAGATATCCTACTTTTAATCTAGTGTTAGAATAATAATAATTTGTCAATGAGTTTGACATAATGACAATAAAACATTTTAGTGACAAGAGCTTGTCAGCTTGAAAAACTGTAAAAAAACCAGAGAAGAATGAATTAAAAATGACTTTGAGATTTGATGGATAAGTTAAAGCCTGACAGAAACAAGGACCTATTTGCAAAGCGGAAAAATAGCTTCCTCTATTTTCCAGATTTAGCAGTGAAACAGTTAATTTTATTACCCACATCAAAAACATGTTTTTTCTCTTGGTGTGGGAGTTTTAGAAGTTCTCTTTCTCCAACAGGCATGACACAAAGACATTAAAAAATCAGAACATTGTGTAACAAAGGCCTATAAAGGCCAGTCGAAGCTTGCAAGGCAAGATGTCACGAGGACTAGGTCTGGGATCACTAGTCGGAAGAAATAATCAGCACCATTCATTTTAGGAAAATAAAAATCTCTTTATTAAAGAATCAAAACATAAGTACAAGTACGAAAACATGTCGGAGATTGTCAGACCAAACTAAACAACGAAAAGAAAATGTTGCAGGTAAAATATTACCAAAATATTACCAAAGAGTTTATTTTTGCCTTTTGGACGTTGAATAAAGAATGAAACAACACAGAGTCGGACTCTTTGGGTTGTAGAATCCCAGAAAAATCCAAGGTCAAATGCAAAGGTCATTGTCAAGATCCTGAAGATGGAGAACTGGGATTAACTTCTCAGGACTTGTTTCAAACTACCAGCTGAACAACAACCATCACACAGAGATGATTTATTGCAGTCAGATTAAGCAATATCTAAATACAACAGTTTTACACACATATAAATTATTTTACTTGAAAACTTGATTGTTTTGCAAGATTGGATAAAAGCCAACTCCTTTTCAGTAAAGCTCTCTGCAGGGTTTCTTTGACTTTTATAGATTTTTAGAATTAAAAGATAAAGGCAGTCTTATTTCTTTAATATTATCAGTTAAATTATTGATCATATTTGTTTTATTGTGAATAAACTAACTTATCTGT